GTAACACCCGATGTCGTATATGTTATTTACTTCATTTTAGTTTTAGTTTTAGTAACAGTTTTACGGCGCTTGCAACACAATAAGGTCATATAGGTCCTGAAGATTAGAGGTGCTACAAGAGAGTAACAAACAAAAGAAAGAAGGAGGAGAGATCAGGCCGATAGATGTTTGATAGGAAAGAAGGAGCCATCCACACCAAAGCACCCACCAACCACGCACAAATACTTCATTTTAAGAATTAAAGTGGTACAATGACACAGAGTAAAACAACCACAGAAGCATCAAATACCATCTGCCAAATGGACATCTTTTGATGTAAGAGATATTAAACGCCCCCGCCGACACAATTTCGATCATTTAGGAGGCTGGCTTTGGACCTTGCCTGTCAGGGCCAACCCGACCCGAAAGGGATACAATGTCCCTGCAGAGACCGAGATCCTAGATAAAGAAAAATGCTTCCCACACGGGAATGGAACTCAGGTCTTCTGTGTGCAACATTAAAGCGCCTATAGCTAGCTACACGACAGACACCGGTGACGTCTGCAAGAGAAAACCAAGGGTGAGCAAATTCATAGGATAAAAAGACAAAAACAAATTCTTGTTTTGTTTCACCCTCAGAAAATAGGAGAAAAATCTGTCGTGTTGGTGAATTTTAAGAGTTTCCCACAAAGGGTCATAAAACCCTGAAAACATTACGAGATCAGTCCTCAAATTTCCCCATATTATTTTCTTTTGGTTTTGGTAAGTGTTTTCACGGCGCTTGCAACTGCATAAAGTCATATGAGCGCGCGGGACACACCTAATATTTTCAGTTGGTAGGAAATATTACGAGATCAGTCCCCAAATTTCCTCACATTTTCTAAAAAGCTCGATGGCAACCAATGCAGGCTGAGCCAGCTAAAAGAATACAATTTTTTACTTTCTGTTGAACAAGCTATATAAAAGGAGAAAGTTCACTCTTCCAAGCCCTATAAAAAAGGACTCTGTTAGTCTTAGGAGTACGGTGTTCAGCTCTCAGTTAAAAGAACCCTGGATCGAAACCTGTCATTGACATAAAAAAAACCCACCTTATCCTTTGTCCTCCTTTCTTGTTCCGTAGTCTTGTTCTGTCATTTTCATTCCCATTCACTCTCTCACCCCCACCCATCCACCCCCTTCTGCTCCACCCTCCCTTAATCTTGACTCTTTGTAAGGCTTCACCTGGCTTCTTCGCAGTGTTGTCTTTCAACCATCTCCCTGATCTTAATATTTCTTAGATTGAACACCTCGCCTTTTCGATAAAAGTCCAAAATTTCGATGGTCCATGGTGCAAGTTTTGTTCGTTAAAAAACCCTTGGTGGTTTTAAAACCGATAAGAGTAGGCTTTGGCTACCACTTAGGCTAAATTAAAAATGAAATCCTACCAAACTGAGCACACTTTAGCCAGTATATATATATATATATATATATATATATATATATATATATATATAAATATATATACTGAATACATTTTTTTTTATGAGTACTATCAAAACATAGCTGCCTGGAATTTGAAGGCAAAGAGTCCTACAAAGTAGGAAAAACTGTCAAATAACAAACAAAAATAAACAGTTGCACGGAGGGTTGAAAAACCATCAGTCTACTATCCCTGAGATTTAGCAGGAGAACGCAAAGAAAAAGAGCTGCTTTAAAGAGGAAACGGCTGACTTTTTGGAAAACTGTGAGAGTGTGTGCGTGTGTGCGTGTGTGTGTGTGTGTGTGTGTGTGTGAGTGTATGAGAGAGAGAGAAAGTGAGCGTGTATGTGTGTGTGTTTGTGTGTTTGTGAGTGTATGAGAGAGAGAGAAAGTGAGCGTGTATGTGTGTGTGTGTGTGTTTGTGTGTGTGTGTGTGTGTGTGTGTGTGTGTGTGTGTGTGTGTGTGTGTGTGTGTGTGTGTGTGTGTGTGTGTGTGTGTGTGTGTGTGTGTGTGTGTGTGAGAGGGAGAGCGAGAGAGAGGGACAGAGAGAGAGTGAGTGTGTGAGTGTGTGTTTGTGCGTGTGTTTGTGTGTGTGTGTGTGTGTGTGTGTGTGTGTGTGTGTGTGTGTGTGTGTGTGTGTGTGTGTGTGTGTGTGTGTGTGTGTGTTTGCCCTCGCGTGTGTTTATGTATGTGGGAAACAAAGGGGGGGGGGGATGGGCTACACTCTGTTGGCAGTGTGACTAAATAACGGCAAAGGTTTCTTTGATGACTTTAGACCATGCCAACCATAAAATATAATTCATTTCAATCTAGCATGCCGTACAATTAAAACCCCTTGAACACCCAAAGGCGAGATAAGCTTGCCTCGGAAAACCCCCATTGCGATAAAAAAAATATTACAGGGGAACAGAGAGAAAAACAACCGGATGCGCTCTCTCGCCATTGCCCTATTTCAAGTCACCAATGAACGGGCTCGGAATAGTCATGCGGGGATTTGTAGGTCACATACAGTTGCTGAGAGAGTGAGGGGAAAATGGCCGGTCTCAGTGCGAAGCCGCTTTGGACAGGGGAGTAGTGGTGCATTTATGATAAATTTATTTTTAAAAAAGACTACAGGACACAAAACATTCTAATTTGAAGTCACTACAGAGGAAAGATAGATCTCTTACCTTCTCGACATTGAAAATTAAGCTCCTTTTAGTTTTCGGTATAGCCGATACGAAAGTGTTTCCAACACCAAAAGTATACGTTAATTTATGTGTACAAACTTCAACGTCCACATCATTAGTTTGCCCTATTTTCTGATTGGTAGCTAAACTTCATTCACATTGGTCCAGAAATAGAGCAGACCAAGTTGGAGAAAGATAGTCACTTACGTTCCGACCCGATCCAAAAATTCACCCGCAAACGGGGACCAAAACTTCGACGCGCGCGGAAACCTGATTGGCATTGCTACATTACTACCACATTTATCCTATCCTGCATTTTCTAATGATACGGAAGACCACAAATAACAATTGTGGCGACAGAGTTGTGGTTCATAAGACACATGCTACGTATCCCATGGACAGCTAGAAAAACAAATGAAGAAGTCTTGGTTGAAGCAAATTGTAGAAGACAGCTTATGACGAATATAAGAAACCGATAGGCAAATTTCTTTGGACACACAATGCGGAAAGAAGCATTGGAGAATATTGTAACAACAGGCAGGTTTGATGGAAAGAGAGGCAGACAGAGGGAAAAGATACTGGACAAGATGACATGATGGCTAGGGGCAGCAAGAACAACAGACACCATTGCTGCAACACAAGACAGAGTGAAGTGGAGGTCCATGATCCCCCACGCCAGTTGGCAAGGCACCGGATGATGATGATGAGACCACAAAATACACAGAATTTCTTTGTGCGACCAACCCACAAACAAAAGCCTTACTTAATCTCGGGGGGTGATTCCTTTAGGCTAGGCGCACACAGGGCAATTTTAGTTGCACATCAGTTGCTGTCTCTGGGCAACATATTTTCTACACGGCGCGCACAGAGCTAAGCAACAGCCAGGCAACAGTAGGCCATCATCATTACTGACTTCCTCATTTGACGCCATGGACTTTCACGACGCAGTTGTTGTCTGTGCTCATGTGATTGCACTTAGAAAGAAGAAAAGGAAAAAGCGGTTTTGGGTTCACCCTTTGACCAGTCAGAGGTAAAAACTGCATGAAGATTTGAGAGCCTACCCTCCCAAGTTTTTAAACTTTTATCGCATGAGCTCAGACAGTGTTAATGACCTTTTATGTCTCGTGAAACACCAACTGGAAGAGCAGCATTTCAGAAGAGAAAAGACAGTTTGGTTGCCAGTGCGCGCTGTGTGTCAGTTTGGTATGTACAACACAGGAGATTGGAGAAACAGTTGTGTTGCCGGAAAGTTGTGACAAAACACAAACCTTTTCAGTCTCCAAAAACCTGAGTTGCCTGTGCATGCGGTGTTTATCCTTTTCAATGTTTACATTTGGTCAAGAAAACAGTTGCGCAACTAAAGTTGCCCTGTGCACATTAGCCTTAGTCTTTGAGAAAAGTCTGCAAAGGACACAGACATGAGACTGGTGTCTGTGGTGGTACTGTTACGCTCTTCCCCACTTCAATAAGATAACATGACGTCCATTCCTGCGCGGGGAATTTTTTACCCTATCCATACGTCGTGTTTTACAATCATATCCATGTAATGCGGGGAACTCTGTGCCCCCACTTTCCAAAGAGGAAATTTGCTCGTTAATCCGATCTGTACGCTCTGAATAGCGGTCTGTCAAAATGAGTTTTTGAGAAAAGCTGAAAGTGTCAAAGAGACCTTCGCACTAGAAGTATTCTCAAATGTGAAGAATACAATCCCTGGGGTACAAAATGACCAAAGGCGTACGAATAGGATGAGCATCTCCGGCTATCTGATGCGATTCTGTACCCCACTCAGCACATGTTGGTCCTAACAAGCGGAATAGAAGCAGCCTGCCTCCAAGATGATCTAAACTGTATTGATGACGGCATAAAAGATGGCTTCCAGTGAACTCGTCAGTCGATGAAGTTGTCACATAGCTCCAGTGATCTCGTCACAGTTATCTCATCACATACTCAAACTTGTGAAAAACGAGTGGCGAGTTCGCCGTGGATTGGCAGGCAAACCCACACATGTCAACATTTAATTAATTCAATTTATAAAATACAATACAAAACCAGAGTTTATTCAATCAATATCTACATATGTCAACCTTTCTGTTTCAACATTTTAAAGAAAAAACGGACACATTTTTGGGTGCAATATAATAATATAAAACCCGTTAAAAATTTGCATGTCTTTAGAGTATGCAATAAAACACATTTTTAAATCTAAAATGGTACAAATGCCGACCGTTGTTTACACGGGAGAGGTAGTGAGACGAGTTCACTGCTATATGGATACTCTTTTTTCAGTGAACTCGATACACATTTTTCAGCTGTGTCGACTTCATAGTGTGACGAGTTCACTGGTTCCCTAAAACATCGACAACCCCCACCCCTCCCCCACAAACAAAACGAACCTGAGGTGGCAGCTTGCACTTGGGGATGGGCAACCCTTTCTGGAAGAAAGTCTGGGGATCAAAGACGGCACCCAGACTCTGTGGGTCGTAGTAGCGAGTGGTGATCGTGCCTCCACTTTTCTCAACGGCCGCAATGACCAGCTCTGACGTCCACTGGACTTCCAAGTTTATCTTGGCATCAAAGGAATCACAGCCCTGACGAGTCATTAGGGGAAACAAGGGAGAAATTTTATTTTAGTTTTAGTAAGTGTTTTACAGAACTTGCAACTCAATAAGGTCATATAAGTGCCGAAGATTAGAGGTGCTACAAGAGAGTAGAAAACAATTAATAAAGAAGGAGGAGAGATCAAGATGATAGATGTTTGATAGGAAAGAAGGAGCAAACCACAAGAGAGCACCCGCCAATCACCCACAGGGAGAAATTGAGCACCAGAGAAATTGAGCACGAGAGAAATAAAGCAACAGAAATAAGCCAGAACTAAACAACTTATCCCCAGAAAACAGAGCAAGAGAAGTAAGCCAGTTTTGGTTTACATGTAGATTTTGTAGGAAATTTATGGAACTTGCAACACAAATAAGTCATACAAGTGCCGAAGATTACAGGTGGTACTACAGAGTAACATACAAAAAAGGGAGGAACAATTGAATATAGATGACAAATATTTGTGTCGCGACGTGGTGGAATCAGGCGCTCGTCAATTTTTGGGCTTGTAGAGTTATTGGTATCATCTTAAAGCTTGTTCCGTTCTCTTCATATCAGTGAAGAAAATGCCCATGTATCTTGAATAGGAGTCAAGATATTTGAGATTGAAGTGATTGAAGAAGTCAGTGTATACTCATCCACAGTCTCGTTGGTGTTAAAAGTAATATGGGGAGAGAATAGTTTAAGGAGATAACATGTTCGAGAGAACAATTTTTTGAGACAAAGTGCTAGAGAGAACAGCATTATGGGACACAGTGGCACAGAGAATGGTTAATGGGACAATCTGTTCATTAAAATGTCAGAAGTATGAGCCATTTAGATCACATAAATAATCTAAAAACCGCTCAGGACACATGAAAGACACCAGAGTGAACTCCCGACATTGCCAGACACAGAAAAGACACGTGTGAAATGTTACATCCGCAGGACATTAAAAATACACAAGAGAGTTATCTCTCACTGACACAGAACAAAAAAAAACATGAATTACATCCCCATCCCCCCCCTGCCTCTGACACAGAAAAGACACATGTAAACAGTTCCCTCCGACTGACACAGAAAAGACACATGTAAACAATTTCCTCCAACTGACACAGAAAAGACACATGTAAACAATTTCCTCCGACTGACACAGAAAAGACACATGTAAACAATTTCCTCCAACTGACACAGAAAAGACACATGTAAATAATTTCCTCCAACTGACACAGAAAAGACACATGTAAACAATTTCCTCCAACTGACACAGAAAAGACACATGTAAACAATTTCCTCCGACTGACACAGAAAAGACACACGTACCGATCAAACTCCCAAAGATGCAAAAAAGACACACATGTGAAGAATTACCTTCTAAAGACACAACAGAAAAGACACGAACGAAGAGTTACCTCCTCTGTGAGATGGAAGCCAAAGTGGTTTTTGGCCACGTCCAGGCTGTACAGCCGAGAGTTGCAGATGGCTGTCACGTCCACCGGTCGGGAAATATCCACTCTGTTCAAGTCGATCAAACGCTGCAGCTCCAATAGGCTGATGGGAGGGTACTGTCTGCGAAGTCTGACAACAAAGTACAGACAGACTTTGTTTTAGTCAAAGAGTTTCACGGCACTTGCAACACAATAAGGTCAAATAAGCACCGAAGATTAGAGGTGTTGCAAATGAGTAACAAACACAAAAAAGGAGGAGAGATCAGGACGACAGATATTTGATAGGAAAGAAGAAGCAAACCACACCAGAGCACCCGCCACATGATCCTATTTCTCATACAGCTATTATAACACACTGAAAAAAATTTCTCCATCTCTCTTACTCAATCTCTCATCCTCACTTACAATGTGCCCTAACCACTCTATAACTATATATAGTCCATTGCCAAGGCCATTAATTAATCTATTAGCTTTAGTATAGGTTTTACAACACTCGCAACTGCATACGGTCATATGAGCGCCCTGCGCTTTGCGACCTGCGTAGCACCTACCTACCTGCCTCCCCAGACATCAGAAATACTTTAGACAACAATAAAGCACAGCTGATTAAAACCTGTAAATTCTTTGCCATATCGACAGACCGAAGGGCTAGAACCCAAATGGCCGCTGGATTGGAAAAGTAAAGTAAAGTAAAGCGCCAAGGGGTGGATGTCAACAGAGAAGTCCTTACAGGGAATCAGGCTTACTCTGTTCACCTCTCTAGCCTCAACAGCACAAAGTCTGCTTACCCCTCGGGGCAGTGCTACTGACTGTAGTGTCTTTAGGCCATTCCCAAAGGGGGGACATTTCTCGTTCAAGCACAGTAGAATGGTAAATGGGCTGATTCATCATGTCACGCTCATAACTGTGCCTGATCTGCAACAGGGAACTGCTGTTCTTTCTTTCCTAATCCCTACTATTGTCATTTCCTCTACTTCTTTTGCATGTGTGTCATACTCTTATGACCCACTATTTCCGGGATGCCTTGATAGTCGAAGCAGACCTTGTGCTGTTGAAGCTAGAGAGGTGAGCAGAGTAAGTATGATTCCTTGTAATGACTTCTCTGTTGACACCCACCCCTTGGCGCTCATATGACCTTATGCAGTTGCGAACGCCGTAAAACCCTCTACTAAAAAAAGAAAAAAAAAAGTCTGCTTCGACTATCAAGACACCCCGGGAATAGCGGGTCACAACAGTGTGACAAACAAACAAACAAAAATAGAGGAAAAATGACGATAGTAAGGATTAGAAAATAAAAAGCAGCAGTTCCCTGTTGCAGTGACGTTGATGAATCAACCCATTTACAATTATAATCCTACTCGGCATAAGAACAGGTTAATGGCCTAAAGACACTCAAGTCAGTAGACCGCCCAGGGGGGGGGGCAGTAATTAATCTATACTGTTTCTCATATTGTATTATAACATTGTTGAGTTGTGTTGAGCTCCATAATCTCTCTCAATTATAACAGTTTCTAGTGCATTTTTAAGTTATTCATACAGTGAATTTTTATATCGGTGTATTCGTCATTTGACAGTGTATGTGGTGATGTAGGATTTGTGCAAAAATAGTCAGTATTTTCAATTAAATTATCAGTTTTCAACTCGCCATGATTGACTTGGTATTTTTCTATTGGACATTTTTCTTCTTCTGGGGTCTACACTCCGTCAACCCTCGAAAGTTTACAACAAAGAAATTTTTTCTCCGAAGTGTCTCGTGAAAACTGTTCTCGGAGTCTTATCCAACTCTGTGCTCGGGAACAAATGTGTGAATACGTGTGTTTCTCCCAGCTCTTGTTCGTGTGTTATACCAGTGAAGTGGAAAAAAACGAGAAGAAAGAAAAGAGGTGGACGACGAAAACAAAGGAGAATCCCTGTGGTGTTTAGTGTTTATTATGATTTAGAAAATTCGTGCATCAGCAGCAGACCGAAAAACAGAACTAACATTAACAATTTGGTCAAAATCGACTGTCGAAACTTTTTGCAAGAAGAAATACAAAATGTTAGAGTAGCGTGCCTTAACACCAGGTCATGCCGTAATAAAGCGGACGAGTTAAATGATTTAATTATTGAGATGAACCTTGATATTTTTTGTATAACAGAATCATGGTTGCAGGAGTACGGTGACGATGCGATTTTATCAGCAATATGTCCAGTTGGTTATTTAATTAAGTCTTTCCCTCGTGTTGGACGTAGAGGAGGAGGAGTAGCATTTATTTATAGAACTAATTTAGCACAAGTTACTGTGAAAAAGAATCCCTGTCACTCATGTGAGGCTGCTTTAATGTCCTTCCAGCTGCCGTCCCAAAGCATTAACATCTGCTGCATATACAGGCCACCACCGAGTAAAGCAAATTATATCAAATCATCCGTTTTTATAGAGGAATTTCTAAATTTAATTTCATCTATGAAGATGAAAAGTACACCATTCATTATAACTGGCAATTCTAATTTTCACTTTGGCTCTGAAAACCCTGTCACTAAAAATATAAGCAACCTGCTGACAGAAAATGATTTAAAACAACTCGTACAAGTACCAACACATAAAAGTCAGCACATCCTAGACTGGGTTATCTCTCCTATTGAAAAGAACTGTGTGAAAGGCATAAATGTTCTGGACAAAGACATTTCGGATCATTATCTTCTTATTGTTGACTTGAACATCAAAAGACCAAGGAAAGAAATAAAAACAGTTCATTCCCGGAATCTGAACGATATAAATTTACACCAGTTTCAATATGACATTCGTGATGCTCTTGCTATTAGTTCCCCTTTTAACATAGAAACCCTCAATACCATCATGAGGAATATTTTAGATGATCATGCTCCAGTTACAAAACGAAAATTATCTCATTGACCTGTTGGTAGGAGGTTTTATTTAGAAATAAAGGTTGCAAAAAAAGAAAAAAGACAAGTGGAAAGAAAATGGAGAAAAACACGACTTGAAGTGCATAAGGGAATATTTATTACTATGAAGAATTCTGTTAGTAAAATGAGTACCAAAGCCAAGCGTACTTTCTTTTTGTCAAAATTTGAAAATGTTAAAACTTGTAAGGAACTTTTTGATGTCTCTAGTGAACTGCTTGGCAACCAAAACAGAACAATATTACCCCCTGGCACCGATAGAGATCTTTGTAGTAGTTTTTCAGACTTTTTTTCTTAAAAAATCACCTCCATCAGGCAAGAGCTCGATAAAATGTGCGCAATTGCCCCAAACTACCATCAGTATAAGGGGCTAGTCATCGATTATTTTACTCCGGCAACAGAAGAAGAAATCAAAAAGATCATATTAGATAGTCCATCAAAAAGTTGCGCCTTAGACCCCATGCCCACCAGCCTTTTAAAAAAATGTTTGCATGAACTTCTTACTTCTTCCACAAATCACCCAAATTGTAAATGATTCTCTCCTCACAGGCACAGTACCAAATTGCTTTAAGACAGCACATATTAGACCCCTTTTGAAAAAATCTGGACTTGATGAAAAGGACTTAAAAATTTTTAGACCAGTTTCAAATCTTTCTTTCCTTTCCAAAATTCTGGAAAAAGTTGTATCTAATAGACTGTTACATCATATTTAAGCAAATAATCTTAGCGAAGTCTATCAGTCAGCATATAAGGCACACCTTAGTACCGAGACAGCGTTACTTAGGGTCCGTACTGATATTTTAAAATATATTGATGGAAAAAAGGTATGTCTTCTTACTCTTTTGGACCTTTCGGCTGCATTCGATACCATTGATCATGACATTTTACTCGAGAGATTAAATACTACTTTTGGCATAAAGGGTACTGTCCTGCGATGGTTTGAGTCATATTTTAAGGATCGAACACAAGCAGTTGTGTTTGGAAACACGTGTTCTAATAATGTTTTGCTTAGATGTGGTTTTCCTCAGGGGTCTGTTCTTGGACCTGTCTTGTTTACAATGTATACACAACCTATTGCTGATATTTTAAGACAATATGGCATGAATTACCATCTTTATGCTGATGACACTCAAATTTATAAGTCTATTGATTTCGATCAAATACCACTTTTAGTCGTCTCTACTGAACAATGTACTAGAGATTTAAAAATATGGATGACCAGCAATAAATTGAAACTAAATGATGAAAAGACGGAAATAATGTTGAGTGGAAATACAAAAGCCATTAAATATCTCCCAGAGCTACAAATTGATATTCATAACCATACCATTCGTTCAAAAAGAAGTCTTAAAAATCTAGGGGTTCAGTTGGATTATGATATGTCTATGTCCTCCCAAATAAGCCAGTTTAGCAAAAGTATTTACTTTCAGCTTAAGAAAATTGGCAGTGTAAGAAATTATTTAACTAAAGCAGCAGCCAAGACACTTGTAACAACACTCATTTTATCAAAGTTAGATTACTTTAATGTTATTTTGTCCGGTTTGACATCCGAAAAACTATCAAAATTACAAGTACTCCAAAATCAAGCAGCAAAATTGATAATAAAACAAAAGAAATCAGCGCACGTAACACCAATTCTGAAAGAACTACACTGGCTGCCAATAAAAGAAAGGATTAAATACAAAACTGCCGTTCTCTGTTTTGAATGTATAAATGATAGTGCACCTTTTTATCTTAAAACATTCCTGGAATTATATCATCCACCTAGAGCCGTTAGATCAGCCTCTGACAATCTAATTCTTAAAACTCCAAAACAAAATTACAAAACATACGGCGAGCGTTCCTTTTTGTTCTTTGGTCCCCAGGTATGGAACGAACTCTCATATAAAATAAGATCTGCCCCAACAATTTCCATTTTAAAAAATCAGCTGAATCATTTTTTATTCACAAAAGCATACCTGTCATAATGATGTACTGTGATATATATGCATGTGTATGCCAGACTGTGAGACTGAAGAAATAGCGAGTGAGAATGAGAGAGAGAGAAAAAGAGAGAGATAGAGAGAGAAAAGAGAGAGAGAGATAGAGATAGAGGGAGAGAAAGAGGGAGAGAGAGAGAGGGGGAGAGAGAGAGAGAGAGAGAGAGAGAGAGAGAGAGAGAGAGAGAGAGAGAGAACGGAAATGTTTTTCTATCTGTATAGAATTAATGTTTTAATGAATGTTTCTAGTTACTCACGTTTCAACTTTATTTTGACTGTTCGTGAATTTTTATTGCATTGTATATTTTTAGTGAACACATTTTCAACCTCACTGCGAGACTGTTTTTCTGGTATAAAATTTTACACATATGCATTTATATTATATGTATAATACTTTGTTTTACGTACACATTTGTGTCGATTAATTTTTAAGATGTGATGTCTTTTTTATTGTAATGCGCATTGAGCATCTTTTAGGAAATGGAAATGCGCAGTATGATAAATGCTATTTATTATTATTATTATTATTATTATTGTTTAGACACCATAAGACAGTTACAGCTCCACAGCAGGTATTATTTTCAATGTAACCTTATTTCTGTTCTGATCAATTACTTACTGTACATTTCTGTTCATGAACTTAGTAGAAAAGGAAGCATAAATAAAACACGAACATTTATTTCAGTGTGCCTTCAAAGATCTTTGAGAAAATTGGTACAAGTATACAAACAATAGGGGTACACATACATACACAAACACACACACAGGATCAAAATGCACACACTACGAATGGACTTGTGTGCATCCACAAAGTTAACTGAGAGAACACCAAGCTCATACATAATTTGTGTGCATTTTCCACAGAGTATCTCTTACACATACTGTTACAGGAATATCTCATATTTATCCCTGACATGACTTACACACTCTTTAATGTCTTACATGTGTAGACAAGAGTATCTAAATATGTTTCTCTCTTGCATGTCTTAACCCTATCCGTACGTCGTGTTTTACTATCGTATCCCTATGACGTGGGGAACTCTGTGCCATCACTTTCAAAAGAGGAAATTTACTTGTCATTCCTATCCGTACACTTTGCACAGCAGTCTGTCAAAATGATTTTTTGAGAAATACTGAAAGTTTCAAAGAGATCTTCGTACTAGAAGTATTCTACAATGTGAAGAATACAACCCCAGGGCGTACGGATAGGGTTAAAGGCCATATCTTTTACATGTGACTGTTTTCATATAAAATTATGCTTTACAACATATTTTCCCTGGAATATCTTTAAATATGTATTGTCTCTAGTGTCCCTTACAACATAGACAGTAGTATATAACCTGTATTTCCCCCCTAGATGTCTCACATAGTTTCCCTGGCAAGTCTAAGTGAAAATAATACCTGTGGTATCTCTTACACACATATATATATATATATATAATTAGACGACAGTATAAATATCTTACGCATATTTCCCATAGTATCTCTCCAAGGGCACATTGTTGATGAGTGGGCTCTGTCCTCCTTCGTAGCCCAGTGGGTCCCACGTGTTGCGAGCTCCCTGACCTTTGTCTCCACGACCTTTCTTCTTCTGCCCAGCCGGTTTCCCAGTTTTTTTCTGATAAAACAAAGCCACAGTGCAGTCAAACTATTTTGTAACTGATCTCTCTCTCAACTTTCAAGAGAGACCCGACTAACTAAAGATATTGCACTGTACATGTAAACAATCATTATAATCTAGTGTGACTAATTTTTACTGGGTTGAAAGTCAATACAACTGTTTATATATAATTATAATCAAATAATAAAATGCTGTGGTTCTGGCACAGGCTCTCATACTTCAACCCCTTTGTCGCCTTATGACATACCAGCCTTATGACATACCAGGTACGTCATGAAAATGCGTAATTTGTGGCCGTTGCCCTACCTCGTACGTCACGCAGATTGGCAAAACTTGTCGCTCCTGATTGCCTCTACTATAAGACTTTACATATGTACGGCACGCTATATCACCTGGCTGTAATAGATCCGTATGGAGTTTTAGCCACAAGAAGCACTACGTGGATTCATAATCAGGAATTAAAGATGCATATATCGGTACCCAAATTTGATAGTTTTACTTTACTGCTAGGCTTGCAAGTGATAAATAAACACAGATCTAGGCCTGCGAGCAGCCGCATGCTCTCACAAAACGTTAACACCCAAATTACTATAAAAAGGAAAAAAAATCACTTTTTGGCTTAGAACTGCGCGTTATATTAAAACTGAGACATGAAACTGCTGTCCTGGGTAACGAGCTTAGTTCAAAATCAGCGCTGACAGTCGGATCGTATTGTCCCAATATCATTTTTGATTTAATGATTGCCTACCCAATGAGTTTTTGGGTGGAGAAATAATTTCTGCAGTCAGATTTACTAACAATTCATAGTTATTTTGTTAATTAAAATTTTGATGTACATATTTCAATTATGCGAAAAAAGGGTGTCGGGATGAGAGCATTTTATTTTTATAGCATCGTATCACAACATAGGATCTTTAAGAATGTTGGTAGCGTTATTTAATAATGGCAAAGCTTTCTTTGATGACTTTAGACCATGCCAACCATAAAATATAATTTAATTCAATCTAGCTTGCCATTCAATTAAAACCCCTTTTTTCCCGTTGATACGCGAACATCCAGAGGCGAGATAAGCTCGCCTCGGAATACCCTCATTACGATGTTACAGGGGAACAGAAAAACAACTGGATGTGCGTGCCCGCCACTGCCCTATTTCAAGTGACCAATGAATGGGCTCGGAATAGTCAAGCGGGGATTTGTAGGTCAATACATTTGCAGAGGGAGTGAGGGGAAAATGGCCAGTCTTCGTGTGAAGCCTCTTTGGACAGGGGGGATAGAGGTACATTTATGATAATTTTAAACAACTACTTGACACACAAGGTTCAAATTTGAGCACACTATAGAGAAAAGATAGATGAGCACACTATAGAGGAAAGATAGATCTCTTACCCTCTCGGCGTCGAATATCAAGATCTTATAGTTTTCGGTGTACCCGAACGAAAGTGTTTCCGACACAAAAGTATATAGGTTAATTACGAACTTCAACGCCCACATATCATTAGTTTGCCCTATTTTCTGACTGGTTGCGAAGTTTCATTCACATTGGTCCAGAAGTAGTGCAGAACAAGTTCGAGAAAGTTAGTTACACGTTTCGACCCGGTCCAAAAAATTCACGGGCCACAAATGCATCCAATTCAATTTCTACAGCTAGAATCTAGATTTAGAGATTTTTAAATGTCTGAATATTTAGATACTTCAGTAGTGATTGGGGCAACGTTTCCGGACTATACTTCATTTGAAAATGTCTTCAAAAGGCACTACAAGAAAACAGGACTGCTCGACCTTGGCAGTAGTAACCTAATTTGCATTTAGTAACCACTAAAGCAAACACTAAAATCCTTCATGTAAACACAAAAAAATCCCTCCATGGCCCCCCACGCCTCGTTCACACCTTATACATACACACACGCACTCTCACACACACAGACACACACATGCACATTCACTCACAAACACACACACACTCACTCACACACATACACACACAGGCCACTCTTTTCACAAATTATCAACAAATCTCGAGAACAGAAAGCGTTCGGAGAAATAGAGTTCAAGTTTATTTTCTCGAGCTTTCAGAGAAATAGAGCTGGCCTAAAAAAAACCCATTGATATTGATACCGAGTATTTAAGTCAGTATCGATCCAGTTACTCTTGGGGTCAAAACCGGAGACGGAGAATGCCCCCATCGTCCTTCAATTTCATGATGGCTCTCAACTGACTAAGATAATACTGAGGGTGGCGATTCATCTCCAAAATATATCTAGGAATTTTCTCCTTTTCAAAACTGACGCCGACAATAACTACGTCTCCTCTCTAGATTCTATATCTATAATAATAACAATTGAATTAATTGAATGATACATATTATTATATTGAAACTGAATGTGTGTAAAAACTAAAGTATCTCTAGATCTAGAGATCTAGATCTAGTTCTAATATCTAGCCTAAGTTACTAGATTTAGCCTCAGGAAGTGGTTATTCTCACCCCGGGTGAGAATAACCTATGTCTCGCTTTTTTTTTTCTCACCCCCTCCCTTGTTTTACCGGAAATCACCCAAATCCCAGAAATTTGTCTCTTTTGGATCGCGTCTGGCCCGGTGAATTTCCTTTGGCTCTCTTGCTCTATTTTGGCTCCAAACTCCAAATGTCCAAGAAGAAGGGGACAGTAGAGGCGATAAGAACAATAAAAGAAAAAAAATGAAAGTGAAGGAAAGAGCTTGGATTGCTTAATAAAATTAATAAACTAGGTCTAGTTAACACGATTGAACGCCCTCGCCCAGTTGGTCTGAATAATTTACAACCCTTCTACCGTCGTGCAAGAGCATATTATTTTATTGTCACGTGCTTGTGTTTCGTTACGTGTGTACACGCTCTCTGTTCCTTGAACCATAATTTATTGTGTGCAGGCATAGGAGCGAGAGGCCTGCCATCGTTAAGTCAGTGTGTAAACAGCGAAAGGTCCAGCCCATGGCCGGTACCACATCCGCTCAGTAGCGTCGGTAGTGAGCCTTTTTTTTTTTTACTGGAGATGCGAAAAATGTTTTTACATTATTATTCAGTCCCAACCCCATCCGGTAGGCCACCAAGGGCCTAGATTAATCTAGGTGATTTTATCGGCCTGCCAGAGGTCAGGAGGGAGTCCTCACCTCATGCCCACACACCAGGCCCAGGGTGGAAGCTAGTCTCATCGGGGGGAGGGGAGGGGGGTGAGAATAGCGAGACATGGGTTATTCTCACCCGGGGTGAGAATAAAAGTGGCCTTAACCCTCGTCCCGTGGAGGCCGGGTTCATGTCGCCCGATAAGCCTATTTCGGCACCTCGCCTACGTTCTGGTCCTGCGTCAGTCTGGTCCTGCGTCAGTCTGGTCCTGCGTCAGTTTAGCCTCCGGCTCAGCGCACGCGCGCCAAGCACCATCTCCCCTTGAATTCGGGTCCCGAGTCGGGTCCGCATTCACGTAGCTCAAGTGTGTGTGCGTCAGTCTGCTTGAGTTTGTGTGCGTTTGTGGCCTTCTTCTTGAACCGCCTGCATGGGTTTGTAACCGAGGCATACGTTTCATTCAAAACACGCCAAGTTGGTAGCTCTAGATGTTCGTCAAATGAAATTATAGAAGAAATTGACCCACTTAGACATGAGGAGCTCGAAAGGATAGTCTGGAAAAAAGACTTCCATTTTTCTATACAAAATCTTTCAAATGAGCTTGATTTTGTATGAAATGATACACAGCCACTGAAATAGGAGAAAAAGCATTATCTTCCATGTAACAGAGAAATGCTGAAACCCTTTTAAGACCAGAACTCCCCCAAACACTAACATCAAGAATGCCAACATCAAAACTTCCCTCATAAAAGAGACAGTGAAAAAGGAATGTGACCCAGTAGAACTGAAGACAACAGCTCTGAAGACAATTGACTCCTACCCTAGTGATTCAATTCATATTTACACAGACGGGTCAGCTTTCAAGGGAACTATAAACGCAGGCTTTGGGGTAAGAATTGAACATCCTGACAAAACATGTGAAGAGCTATTTGATGCATGTGGTACTTCTTGTACAAATTACAAGGCTGAGGCCATCGTCATTGAAGCAGCAATCCTCCACCTGACCAACATTTTCATAATACATCCAAACAAAATCAAGAACACTATTAATATTATCTTCACAGACGGAAAGTCAGTACTCCAAGCATTGGAAAACTTGAATTTCGAAAGCCCAGCCTGCCTATCCGTGGCTCAAACAATCAACACCTTCATACAGACCTATGCCGTGGACCTGACACTACAGTGGATACCTGGCCACAGCAACATCCCAGGAAACGACAGAGCAGACACCCTTGCCAAGAAGGGAGCATCACATACACAACCTCACAACCCAGTATCACAACAGACAGCCAAGAACATCATCAAATGCAACACCAGGGAACAGTGGCTGAATGGATGGGCAATGGGCAAAACTGGAAGAACTAGAACTGTATTTGCACACATGACAACCCCCAATTTTTTATGCAATAAATTCCCTAAGCAGAAGAGAACAAGTCACGATCTTTCACCTGCGAACACAACACTTACCTTAATAGGATCTGCAAGAATACCCCACCCGACTGCTCGTTGTGCGACTGCCAGGATGAAACAGTACCACACCACCTCTTTAACTGCCCAGCACTTTGTGACCTGCGTCTACCTGCCTCCCCAGACATCGGAAATAATCTATACAGCAACGAAGCACAGCTGATTAAAATCTGTAAATTCTTTGCCATATCGACAGACCACAGTGCTAGAACCCGAATGGCCGCTGGATCGGAAAAGTAAAGTAAAGTAAAGTATGAAATGATACTACCTTTGATAAAAAATAAGCTTATTTGATCATTTTGAATACTATTGTACAGGCACAAAGAACAATTTGAGGGCAAACCATTCGGAAATTGACCTCCTATTTTTAGTATGTCAATAAACATTAGGCCCACTGTACAAAAGGAGTTCGTCTTTGCATCTTTTCTCTTTTCAAA